TATATCCATGCCTGCTTTAATCAGGGCTAGAGTCCTCTCATTTGACCTTTGGAGTTTAGCACAGTATTGCTCATTCTACATTCACAGAATGACAATTAATTAGGGGACAATATAATATGGAAATTCAAATAGGAGAATACCAGCTGTGAGCACATAGAAAAGTAAATATGTTAAACATACTTGGCACTTATCACTGTTCTTTAGCTCCTTCTCCAACTTTTTCATTGATGCTGAAAGCCTCCCAAGTTCCCCAAGCTGATTTAAGAAGATTATACCACATAAAGATCCAAAGCTTGTGAAGAATTTAATGGCAAAACAATTATTGCTGGAGAGAAGTTTTATATAACTAATAAGGAGAAACAAACCTCAACCAAGCTGCTGCAAATTGAAGAACCCATCCAACAGAAAAGGGATATCCGCCCAAGCAGTTCAACACGTTCTTTGTCCTATGAAAAATATTATGGTGTTATTTGTTTTCCAGTTAACATTTCGTGCAGAATCCAACCACAAGATATATAAAATCAAATAATGATAAAGTAAACTTCATACCTTATAGATACCTGTTCTGCCAAGCCAAACAATTTGATCGAGAAATAGGAAAGTCGATAATAGTGCATTCTTTGACTGAAAGAAGAATTAATGAATTAACCACAAAAATAGAGTCAATTAAAAATCCAAAGGAGAATAGGAAAACGTTTCTCTATAGTACAACCATACCTTCCCCAGCAGAACAAGTGGAAGGGGAGTTCCTTGAGGAACTGGGCTAATAAGAGCATGCAAATCATTGACAAACTGCAAATTAACAATGTAGAGCATAAATCAAGCAAGATTCAAAATTTGTAAGAGGATATAGATCAAATCTAAAAGAAAAACTTTTACTCGACGAAATTTTTCCAATTTAACAATCTAAACTCACAAGAATACCATTACCAGGAAATTGAATAAAAATAATTTTAATTTCTTATTTTGCATTATAAGATGTAGCCAAACCTTAAAAAGTCGGAAAACTTTCCTTGCCAAGCTGGTTGATTTGTCAACATTTTGGGCTGTGCCAGGCTTCCCTTCACTAATGAATTTTGAACCATACTGTATAGCCCTGCATATCTTATCCCTTGCTTCAGCCTTATTCAGATACAAAACAATAAGAGCAAGTTCAGCCCTAGTTACATCCAAAGTACTCATCTTTTATCCCAAATGCACCTGAAAGGTCACAGTATTCACTTTTCATTTGAGGTAATGGGATTCCAGGAGAAATAAGATATCCATTCATGTTTCGATGTGATGTAAGAAAAATGAAGTGAAATTCATATACCAAAACTAACATAATTTGCAAGCATAAGCAAATCACTGTACAAGGAAAGAGGAAGAAAGTGCCCTAAGCCTCAAACAAAGAGATATGCAGTTGTTCCTCTTAATTTTAATTGAAACAAAGGGTGAAAAATTCAACATTCTAACCCAACTAATTCTAGAAAATCATTTTGATCTTCTATTAGCTGAGTTTTCATCTTGGTATATACAATAATACTAGAATTATGATTCTCAAAATTCCATCCTTCTTCCTGCTCCATTTTTACCCCACTTCCCAGCAACCAAGCAGAACATATCAACACGAAAAAATTCTATAGTCCAAATCAACACGTGAATCAAACCATAAATACCGAAATTAATCAGATTTAGACCCAAAAGTCAACCAAAAAAAAAAAAAAGCAGTCGCTAACGGAAAATTAAGACCTAAACTCGAATACCCATCAGAAATCCTGCAAAAAAGGACTGATTGAACATAAAACAATTGACTTAAAACCAAAACAACACCAAAAAACATACCGTAAACAACAGGAAAGATTGTTGGTCGAACAGCAAAAAACCCAGATCACCTATTAAACCAAAGAGCATATATATCGGTCAAACAGCAAGAACTCATATAGAGATGGACAGCGGGCAGGAGGAAAAGAGCTGTACCGAAGGGAGTGCCAGATGACTCGGCCTCGAAATCCACAAACTTTCTATCTACCCTTTTTTCCCCTTTTACGGCTGTACCAAGATCAGAGTCTCGCTTGGGCTCTCGGGTGTCAGCTCCGTCTGTCCTCTTTTGGTTTCTGTATTCCAGACTTTTATAAGGGCCTGTTTGGTCCTCTTTTTTTTCCCAAACAAGCAACCAAATTTCCATTTTTTAGGATGTAAGGATTGAATTGAATCACTGGCCGTTAATCCATGACTGGACCCACGATTGATTCAAGATCTTGACCGTTAAATTCTCGCTATCTATCCTAATCACTTCTTTGATGAAGCAATTATAGAGAAATGATTTTATTTTAAGATAAGAAACGTGATTCACTTCTCAATAATGTCAATATCATACCAAAAAAATGTTGACCTACCATAGGTTTTTGGCAATTAAATTTTTTACTAATTCTTGCCATTTGATTCCGCTTTTTCATTGGTAAATTTGAAAAATTATGTAACTTTTAAAAAATAATTTAATTTATGATAGAAATATGATAAGTCATACATTAAATGCAATAAAATTTAGTGGTTTTAAGTTAAAAATGTATTTATATAACTTTAAATTTTTAATAACGTAAGAGAAAAAATACCCAAAAAAAAAGGAAAAATTATGGCTATTGTGGCAACCATTTTGATGAACCCCTCTTACTATTCTTGTGCCAAAACAGATTGATAATTACCATTTTAACTAGAGATAAGCCTTCCTCTTGTTTTAATATGTTATTAGTCCACGTCTCCATGATACAGCCATGTAGTTGTCGTGGCATGATAAGGTAGTACTCACCCCTAATATAGCTTTAGGAATAAAATAAAATAAAACAAAAATGGTGTAGTTATGAAGTTGCCATCGCCCTCAAGAATTGGAGGAAATTCATTTGATAATGATGGTTGCCTTGGTCTAATATTGTGTGCTTGGACAGTGGGCACTTTGGTGCTCCATAACAAATCTTATCTTCCATTATGTCATGATTTTACTTTTCCTACCTTTCCAAGTTCCGCAACTTCCATTCTAATCTGCCTTAAAGAGAGGGCGGCTAGCAGAGACTTGTGTTTGGTCGCTGAGAAAACGAAGGAAAATGACAAAGAAGTATTCCCCACAATTCAGTTCTAACTCTCACAATATGAACCTTGATTACATCAGAATTACCTTAAAATGCAACTTGATTTATAAATATAAGGGGGTGAACAGATAGATTACACTGGCCAAAAAAGCGTACATTAGTACATTGCATCATTAACTACTTCGTTTCATACAGAAAATGAAACAAAAGATCATATAAGGCAAAGGGAGGGAAAGGAAATAAAGGAGAAGATGATCATTTCTTCTTTTACTTCCTGCTAAACAAACTCTTTAGCTTCCCTCTTTCCAACCGCTCGAGTAGCTTTTTGGCACCTGGGATGTCCATCTCCGATAGCTTCTTCAGGTATCCGATTGCCCCATACGAGATCATGAGCTTCTTGCATTTCTTGCTTGAAGAGAGGGATGAAAGGCAGGAAACTGCATATTTCTTTGCTGTATTTTGCAGATTTGGTTCCAGCAATTGGACCAGATTTGGCACGCTTGTGTCATCCCTCTTGACTTCTCTACAATTGTGTGAGAGAGTCATCAAACTGGAAATAGCTTGAGCAGCAACCTCTCTAACACTGTTTGATTTGGACTCAAGCAATCGGATTAGCAAGGGAATGCACCCGGCTTCACCTACCATTTTCTTCATTTCTGTTGAATTGCAAACCTTACAGATGGCTGATGCAGCAGCCTGTTGTGCACCAAGGGATCCTGATTTTAGAACATGAACCAAACGGGAGAGGAAACCAAGAGAAATTAAAAGTTCCATAGAAACCAAGCCAACCAAGTTTCTCAAGGCTGCAACTGGAGACTCCTGGGGCAAAGGACCATCAATGTATGCCAAAAGGCTTTGAATTCCCCCTTCTGAGATGACAGACCTTCTTAAATTCTCGTTGCTTGCTGTGAGATTCTGCAAGCATTCTGCAGCATATTCTTTTGAACCCAATAAAATTCCACAATCAAGAAGATTGATCATAACCATTATAATGCCTTCTTCAGCTAATTCTTGTCGAACCTCCGGGACAGCTGATATGTTCTTCAATGTGCAGGCAGCTGCAGCCTGGGAGACAGACTCTCCAGTTCGACATATCTCAATCAGAGGTCGAACCCCACCATGGCCTACAATTGCTCGGGCTCTTTCTGAAGACATTGACAACCTCTGCAGAGAAATTGTGGCCTTCTCTTTACCCACTGCACTGCCAGATTCAACTAGCCTTATGAGAGGTGGCAAAACACCTTCAGAAACAAGCCAATTCTCACAACCCCCAGATTCAGCAAGTGAGCAGATTACAGTCACAGTCTTTTCACGGATACGAGGAGATGTAGCTGTTAACAACTGGACTAAAGCAGCAATATTGCTCCGCCCCAAGACCAACAAGACATTCTTTTCATCCTCCTTCATGACCTCAACAAGACAGTCAAGAGCTTTGTGCTTTGACTCCAAGTGACCAATCTGGAGCCTGGCAAACACTTCCCTTATGTGGCTAAGCACTGAAGTTTCTGGTTCTGCTGAAGAAATAGCTACAGATAAAGGCAAAGTGGTCTCACCTAGCACTCCAGTCTTGATCAATAATCCGCAATCCCTTAAATTCAAATCCAACTTCCCAGACAATGCATCAAGATCACTCTGCATCCGGAGCTTCCCCTCATACTTCTCCTTCACACACAATTCAGCCAATTCAATCACCTCCTTCAACGTCTTTGACACCGCCTGCAACTGCTCCTTACACAGTGCATTCTTGGAGAAGCAAGGATGGCTTGACAAATCCGATAAACAAGATGGGATCTGCTCCAATTTGCTAATTATCATCTTCCATCTGCTAGGGAACCCCTTTACCTCCCTGGCCCGGTCAAGTGCCTCCGGAACAAGCTCTTGCGCATGGCTTAACCATTCTTCTGCCGACCAAGTTTCATCACTTGAAACATAATTCGACCCTTCTTCCACCATGATTTCAGATATGTTTATTGATCCACCAGAGCTGTATCCACAGAAATTCAGAGAAACTTGAACCTAAAGAGATGAACCAGGCAAGGAAAAACAGAAAAACTAATTAGGAGGAGGTAACAACAGTTGAATAGAAAAATGAAAAAGCAGTGGAGCAGTTGCAATTATGTAAAATTAAATTCATTACAAAAAATAAACAAAACGAGTAAACCGACATCAAAGCTTTGCTTCGAGAATCTTGTATGATCACACAAAGCTTATTTGATGAAGACAAGAACCAACCAAGAAACGGAAGTACCTAAAAGATGCCCCCACGAGTCATGTTCTCTTTTGCTTTCTCAAGTAATCATTAAATGCCAACTAAAATCATTTTCTAAAAAAATGTCATGATGAATGCTAACCATGCACTAAACACCTTTAAATTTTCAAATTGAGAATCCGACGACCGGCCCTTTGGAATACCAAAATACCCCTTTGCAGGTCAGTAGTAGGGTGTAAAATAAAGCTATTTTGAGGGGTACAGTACATGAGAACTATAATTGTATTAAATTGCAAAATAAAAATGATTAAAAGAGAATAAATTCTTAATATTAAGAGTTCTTAATAGTTAGTGTTGTGCAGAGACCATTCGAACTGCACAATATTTTTTCCGAGGTATATTAGGAAGGGGACAAACAACTTTACTTTTTCAACCGAGGAGTAGGTCCCTTTCCCCCCTATGTAAAAAATAAAAAAAAAAAGAGTCGGTGGTAGCTGGTATAAGATTTGATCTTGATCTGTAATGTAATCAATGGGCAAGAATTTTTCTGGGGTTAGAAGAAAAGATAAAAAGATGATTCTCAGATAGATTGCACATTTTATCCCTTTAATAGAGCTAAGAAACTTCCCTTTAAAGAGAAGGTTCAGTCCCTATCCGGAGTTGTACGTGCACTCATGTAGACTTGTAGAGTGTGTTTGCATTTACTGGATGGCTGGATGCACCAAACCCACTTAAAATTTCTAAGAAAATCCAAAGAATTGAGCTCGACAAATAGGAATACCTTGAATTGCTTAGCATTAAGAGTACTCCACCATTTACAGCCACCAAACAGTCTCCTGGACAAACATGAAAGGGATAGGTTTAGAATATGTATACATGACATGTCATCTGATAAAATATGGGTCAATAGAGAAATGAGAACCCAATTAAGAGAAAGGTAAGAAAGAAAATAATTGAAGAAAAGGAGAGAAGAAACAAAAATAAAAGCCACTTTATTCAATCCGAGTAGGAATCAAAGAAAGAAAAAGGAAAATCAAGTTCATGAACCAACCTTTAAGCCTCAGACACCTGAAGCTTGTCCCTTTCTTTTTTTCCCCTCAAGAAAGCAACACACTTAGTAATAGCTTAATCTTCAAACTTCTCTCACTTGCAACCAAGAAAACGCCTCTGAGAATCACATTCTCCAAACAGGAAGCCTGCTATGCAGTGATACATCCAAGATCAGCAATCAGTGCCGGCTTGATATTTACCACCCTGAAAACACAGTGATCCTAACAATCAGAAATGCCCATAACCCATTGTTTGTTAATTTCCTACTAAAGAAGCAGACTAAACGGTCGAAACCATTAAAAAAATCAAATGAAACCTCAAATTTGAAATCCCCCAGCTGAAAAAATTCGAACTTTAGAGAGAGAGGAAGAGAGAAAAATTTTAAAACTACACACACTACTATCTACAATGACATTCGCATTCAAAAATCAAAAAACCCATCTTCAAATCTCTCTCATACGGAAGGCACTGTGTCAGATTTCTGGTCCCTCAGATTCTCTCATTTTATTAAAAAAAAAGAAAAATCCCAAAAATGTGCAGTACTCAACTCACTCAGGTTCTAGAGAGAGTAAGTGGTTAACTCCTCCATTCTGACGGAAGAACTTAAATAATGGAATAGAGCAAGATCCTTTATCCAAAAACAACAAAAATAGGGCAAGATCGACGGCTGTGATTGGTAATAAAACAGAGGAATCGACCGTTAAGATCTATTGAAATTTTAATCT